TATTTAAAAAAAATTATTAAGTTTTCAAGGTAATATTAAAAAAAAAAAACAATATTTTGAAGACTTTTTCATTCGTTTTGCTCGTCTTTTATGATTGTAAGATGGATAATCTCGTTTTAATGTCCAGCAAAAATCTCGATGACCATTTTTCCTGGTATCTTTTTTCCATCGCCATGATATCCTGGTGTTATCTCTCTCCGTGCTCGTCACTTACAGCAACTAAATTTTCAGGGAAAAAGTCTAGATGGGAATCAAGAAAATGAATCTTTAAAGACATATTACATCCCAAGACTTTATAATTCTCTAATAGTTTGGAAACCATCTCCTTATAGTTTTCTGATTTTGTATTTCCCAAAAAATTATTTGCCACTTCGACAAACGAAAGCCATCAGTATAAGGAATCCGTTTAGTTACAGATTCCACATCAGGGTATGTAATTTTACTTCTTGTTTTATAGGAATATCCCTTCAGTTTTGTTAAACAAAAATAACAATCATTCACATGATCTTTTTGTTCCCTCCAAATTACAGGTTTAGAAAAAGGCATTGATCGGTGGGTACCATTAAACCACCCTCTCAAATAACGTTCACATTTTAAACAAAAAAAACTTGGAGTCCAAGGTTGATTAATACTCTCAGAAATTTTGAAACCAAAATAAAAATTGTAAATGTTATATAGTAACGGCGTAGGCCGTTTTCTATTGGATTTTGAATTAAACCTCCCACAGACAAAACAGAAGAGATCCGGTGAATTCAAACACTTTTTTTTTATACAATTTAGAATGGCAACAAGCTGACGGTCCACCTGATAGAAAGTGGTAACCGGCGCATATAGACATGAGCAGTACCTTGGACATAACAGAGTAAACTGTTTTGCCCATGATACCCCCTATGCGTTGCCATTCCTGAGGACTCAGGTGTTATTCCTCTGCACCCAGTAAATTCACGCCGTATCCCACCCTTCAAACTGAAACACAGCCATGCAAACACAACTGCTTCACGGTTGAAACACGAATGGGACAGAGGTACCCAAGCAATTGAATTTTGTACAATTTAAACAACAACACTTTGGAATAAACACTAGAAACTGCACGACGTCGTAGCAATATTACGTAATAGTACGTGTTAAAGCAATATTAAACCCAATGAACGAACAATACCGAGTTGAAAATATATAGATTTAAGGATATATTCTGTACTACCCATAACAATATTATTTTTGTAAGTAAGATCAGTTGCAATACTCTTTTTCGACATACCCTCACAAATTTAAGCCAAATATATCATATATGTACATATTTAGATATTTCGATGTAATAGATTTTTTTTATTATTTTTCCGTTGATATTTATATTTATATATAAAAGATACCGAAAAATACAATTGAATTAACGGTAAAAAGTCATGTTGACCAGTGTAATTATTATAATTTTGTGTCTCTCTGTATATTTGTTCTAGCATTATTTATATATAAATTTCATGTTATTACAGTTTTTATATATGTATCATTTATTAAGCATACTTGTTATTAGCATTATCTATTCTAATGAAGTATGGGGGGGGGGGGAAGAGATTATTAGTGACGCCGACTGTCAGTTCTATTGCAGCTAGCAATATACCTTGTCAAGTCGACCTCCACGTGCTGAATTGCAAGTGTATTCCGATGAATACAGCTTATCATGATTGACAAGCTAACTGACCTGCCTTTTTATCCTCACCTATCATCCCTCATTGGTGTTCTGCCAGCGATTACCGTTAGCACAGGCAGGATTACCATTCTACTGTTATCCATAAAAAAAAAATTCTTTCATTCATCCAAAAAAAATGAAGTACCGTGTTTATGATTCATAATTCACTGTTCATCCCAAACATTAACTGGTAGAAATTAGTATTAAGTCCGCTTTTAGTACCATATTTTCATTTGCCCAATAATATGAATAAATAAATAAAATACGCTGTCTAGAAGCGGGTACTAACTTCAAACAAGAACGTGTACGAAGTAGTGGACAAAGGCTAGTTGCTGCATAAAAACGTGCAAACAGAAGTCATTGCAATATCACTGAGATCATTTATCATCATCACAAGTTGCTCGCAAAATGTCCGTATGACGAAGGACGTACGGGCAGGCAACCCTTGCTATTATATAGCGGCAGATGTGTTTACGTGTTCCACTCTATGACGAACGAAACGCGACGCTTTTGTGAGATCGTAACGAATAATATGGATATACCAAATAATTGTTTGTTTTTAAGCGACTTTGAAAACGAAGAGATTAATAGATAGATAGATACTCTTTATAGTTTCCTCCAAAAGATTACAATAGTAAACTTATTATAAATATAAATAATTACAAGAAATAATCACAATGAGTAAACCATGGGCGACCTTATCGCTAAAAGCGATCTTTTCCAGGCAACCTTTGGATGGAGAGGAGTAATTATAAACAATTTGGTGGGAGGCACGGAGAGGGTCTCAATTAGTTATATTTTTTATAACACTAATAATGTCTAAGTGCAAACAATCACACCATCCTCAATACCAGAGGGTACAAAAGTACTTTGTACAAAAGTCGTTTGCTTGGGCATTTCTGTCCCTTTCGTTTTTCTACCGTGAAGCATTTGTGTTTGCATGGCAGTTTCAGTTTGAAAGATGGGATATGGCAGTGAATTTACAGGGTATAGAGGAATAACACCTGAGTCCTCAGGAATGGCAACGTATGGATGGTATCGTAGGCGAAACAGTATACTCCGTTATGTCCGTGGTACTGCTCATGTCTATAGGCAATTGCTACCACTTTTGATCAGGTGGACCGTCAGCTTGTTTGCCATTTTAAGTTGCATAAAAAAAGCTAGGACAACCTGTAGATACGTACGTACGAGATGTAGAGACCTTTAACGCTCAGAACGTCTGTTTCCTTTGTTTTACTTAAATATATTAGGCTATATTTTGGACAATTTTGAAAAGATTGTGTTATTTCTTTTCGTAATCGTTTTTTGTGTTGGTTCCATATACATTTTGTTACGATTAGTGTAGTTTGTGTACGCGGAGTAAAATCTAAAATTATTTCGTGTCTATGTGTTATTAAAAAATCTCTAAATGAAATTACAAATAAATTGAAAAATTTAATCAATCAAAGAATTTCTAATCTATGCTACTGGAGGGAAAGGGATTGTTGGTAATGGGGTCTAACTGACCTATTGCTAGCAATCCACCCTGTCTAGTCGATCTCCACGCGATTCCCCCTGGAAACCATAGTGGTCGATTCTAGTGGAATTTGTCACGATGGGCTAAATGACCTGCTTTCATTGTTACCTATCATCCCTCACTGGTGCCCCGCCAGCGTATACTGATAGCGCAGGCAGGGTTCCCATTCAATTATCACCCATTAAAAAAATCTATGCTACTATTACATAATATTTTATGTCTGTTTTTTGGGTAGGTCAATTATTTGTTTGTTTACATTTTTATTAAGCTCTATTGAAAAATATTATATATATACATAGTCATGTCCTTACAATGATTTACTTCACGCAGATGGTAACAGGTGGTCCAACAAAGGCCGACTCGCATTATCTCGGCCATTATTATTTATTTTGCCTGCAATCCTTTATGACATACATTCGATACCATTGTGTTATTGTACGTTTAATATAATTGCTATGAACAGATTTATTAATAGTATCAAAATATTTATTCGCAAAATTTAACATATATATATGTTATGGCCAAGTGGAATATTATACTAGTGACCCGCACCGGCTTCGCACGAGTGCAATGCTGTCACCAAATATACCTACCTACTACAGTAAAGGTCCATATTAAATGGACAATGTATTTAAGGTACTTAATTGGATAAAAATTAATGCTGTATTGCTTAAAATCACTTCGTAAATATGCTATTTTTTCCTATAAAATGTAGTGGATAAAAAATGGTTATTATGGGTTATCTTTAAGAGATAGACCATCGCGGACTTTTCTGTTGACCTTTTTGAGGTGTACAATATTATAGTACAGGGAAAGGGATTGTTAGTAATGGAGACTGAGAATCCCATTGCTAGCAATATACCCAATCAGGTCGACCTCCTCGCGGTTCTCCATGGAAACTTTCATGGTTAATTACTAATGAATTCATCATGATGGGCTAACTGGCCTGTTTTCATTCTCATCTATCACCCTTCACTGGTGCTCCGCCAGCGTATCCCGTTAGCGCAGACGAGGTTACCATACCATTTTCACCCATCAAAAAAAATAGGTAGTAGCCAAGGGGAAAGGGATTGTTAGTAATAGAGTTAAATAATCCCATTACTAGCAATATACCCTGTCAGGTACTCCTCGTGGTTCCTCCTGGAAATCATCGTGATTGATTTATTGTTAGATTTGTCACGGTGGGCTAACTGACCTGCTTCATCCTCACCTATCATCCCTCCCTGGTGCCCCGCCAGTGTATACCGATAGTGAAGGCGGGGATACCATTTCATTATCATCTATTGAAAAAAAATAGGTGGTTAATTTGGGGGAAGGGATCGTTTGTAATAAGGACCACCAGGCCTATTCTTAGCAATATAATTACATAAAAATCTGGGGGAAAGTGCTAGCAATAGGATCAAACAGCCAGATTGCTAGCAATATACCCTATCAGGTCGACCACCACATGATTTCCCTTGGAAACTACCTTTTATTCCTAACAAAACTCACTCGTGCGTCGTTAATGACATTGAGAGTGCAGGCGGGGTTACCATACTATTATTTAAAAACAAATATATACTTATACACCCTGACAGGCCGACCTTCTCGTAGTCTCTCTGGAAACCGTTGTGCTGAATTCCAGATGTATTCGTCATGATGAGCTAATTAACCTGCCTTTTCATTCTTACCTGTCATCCCTCACTGGTGTCCCACTAGCGTATACCGTTAGTGCGTACTATTCATATTAGTATTATGATTTACACAAAGTGACTATTTTAACCCTCCTGTGCTCATTACATAAATAAAACAATAACATGTAATTATTTATAATATATTATTATTTACAATTATATCTTTACAAAATACAGTTGAATAGATTTTAGGTAATAAAAATAAAATAAAATTTTATAGTATATAAAATTAATAAAATTACTTGGGTGATCTTACCTTTGATTGGTAGTGTAAAGGAGATAAAACAATAACTTACAAAGTAGGCATTGGAGTTAGAGCGAGATAGTTAGACAGGATCGTTTACGCACGCAATAGTGGCCTGTAGTATCATTATTATAATCACATTTTCAAGCATATTAAGTTTTAAATAATTATGATTACTTGGGCAGTAGGGATGGGTAATACACAACAATATATATTGTACTTACTTATATCTATATATTGGTCCAATAAAACGTATATATATATATATATATATATATATATATATATATATATATATATATATATATATATATATATATATCGGTTGTCTAATTGATAATATTGATATGGAGTATTTTTTTAATTGAAACGAATGCATATATCTGACCGATATGGGCGATATCAATATCTGATAATTTTCTTTTCGCCATCAATATCTGGAAGCCAATATATAGGTATTGGGGCGGTACGGATATTACCCATGCATATTAGACAAAGCATACATTTTAAAGAAAACATACAAATACAAATTTTTTCTCGTAATTACGTTGCAATATTAAGTATTGTACAATGACTCATTAGCCGAAGAAACTATTGCATTTAGTCCAAGTAAAGCTCTGAATGCCCACCGAATGTAAGAATTTTAATTGAAATAATAATAAATATATAAATTATATAACTACACTCTGTTTGAAACAGATTGGTTATGTCGCCACATTTACATTATGCTATGATTGCATTTCCAGTTTGTAACTACAAAATTAGTAGTCGAGGGATGGGCAGCAGCGTCCCTCTTAAAACACCATTAAAGTCTAACTGCAACTATTGGCAAAACACCCATGGGGAGTTGGACTCAAGTTCAACAGTGGACAATTAATGGCTGTTATGATGATGGTGATGATGATGATGATGAAGTACAAAATTACGTAATAATACATACTCAATGTTAAACTGTCAATGGCAATTACAGTATTAGTAAATAATAATTCTGTGTCATAAATACAGAAGTTATATATTAAATTATAAATTACTAGCGACCCGCCCCTGCTTCGCATGGGTTGCACATTACATCATATCACATTAGAAAACCTCTAAATTTATCAGTGTTTCTCTACTATATTATGCACGTATTATACATATAAATCTTCCTCTTGAATCACTCTATCTATTAAAAAAAAACCGCTGCAAAATCCATTGCGTAGTTTTAAAGATTTAAGCATACATAGGGGCGGACAGACAGCGACAGCGACTTTGTTTTATATAATGTAGTGATGTACAGCTTTTAATAATTATAGTATACATGCAATTTTATCGAGTTTGAATTTATTCTATAAGTATTTATTATTTTATTAATAGGTGTATGGAAGCATTCACCTATTTTAGTGTTAAGTTTGCATATTTTTTTTTTTTTTTTTTTTTTTTTTTTTTTTTATACTACTTAGAATGGCAAACAAGCTGACGGCCCACCTGATGGAAAGTAGTAACCGTCGCCTATAGACATGAGCAGTACCATGGACATAATAGAGTATACTGTTTCGCCCATGATACCCCCCATGCGTTGCCATTCCTGAGGACTCAGGTGTTATTCCTCTGTACCCAGTAAATTCACGCCATATCCCATCCTTCAAACCGAAACACAGTTATGCAAACACAACTGCTTCACGGTTGAAACACGAATGGGACAGAGGTACCCAAGCAATCGACTTTTGTACAAAGTCTCCCTCTGGTAAATATCCTAAAATAGCCTTAAAATTAATAAAAAAAAAAAAAAACTGACACTGATGTTATTGATTACTCGATAATAATATTCTGGTAATTGAATGGTTTTTAATATTCATCTTTCTTTTCTAAGATTTCTAGATAAAATGCATTTTTAAAGTTATTGTCATAATTCTGAATTACATTACTCGCCTTCTCAGAAAACTCGAATGACTCGAGAAATCAACTACAATACATACAATTTTCTGATTTGAACACACAAAGTTTTAAGCAAATAGTGAAGACAGACAGACAGGTAGACTATACAATAATTATATATATACAGATATACATCTATACGGCACCAATTTGCAATATAGGCAGAGCTAATTGGAATGCATTTTGTATGTATGTAGAACTATTCCCGGCCTGTGAACAAATAAAAAAAGTTAAGGTTTCTGTTACACCTTGTATAAAATATACATTTATGAAAAATTATTGAATGTATGTTGATGATTTATTTAACGATTTCTAAAAATGTAGTAGAGAATTGTTTATATATATATATATATATATATATATATATATATATATATATATATATATATATATATATATATATATATATATATATATATATATATATATATATATATATATATATATATATATACAACTTAGAATGGCAAACAAGCTGACAGCCCACGTGATGGAAAGTGGTAACCGTCGCCTATAGACATGAACAGTAGCATGGACACAATATAGTAAATACACTGTGACGCCCATGGCACCATTTATAAAGACTAAGATTTTATGCCTACATATACATACTTAGAAATTTTACTACCGTGTGGTCCTGGTATAAAATAGGCCACTCCTTCCTATCCTGTAAGTGTCGTAACAGATGACTAAGGGAGGTTGAGGGATGGGCAGCAACATCCCTTTTAAAACATCTCTAAAGCCTGACTGTGGTTGCCAATCCAACTACCAAGCGTGGCAACTACTGGCAAAATCTCCATAGGGGAAGGCTTATGTTCCAGCAGTGACCAGTTATCCCACCCTTTAAACTAATAGGTATTGAAAATGTACTCACCTCTAAAAATATGTTGGTAATATAAGTATTATTTTGTTCCTTATTATCAGTAGGTATAGAGTTCAATTTCTCCGTAAACAAAGTAGCCAGATCGCCGATATGTTTTGTCAAAGCCACTGTCATCCTATAAACAAAATAAGTAATTGTATTAAAAACTAACGACCCTATACCCGTCTGGCGGTAGTATGATATGGACACTCCATTTTTAAAATAAAAATATAATTGTAAATTATTAGATTTTTTATAACAAAAATAACATTCTTGTTTTTTATTTTACAAAAATAACATTCTACGTTTCTTTTTTTCAAAAATAACATTCTTCTAGTAGCGTAAAAAAAATGTAATCATTGATTAAAAAATAGGGATAATGGAAAAAAATTATAAAATGACAGAGAGCTCCTTAAAAGGCATAGTGCAGAATACGACCACTTTTTTCTGTCTTGATTTTAATACTTTTTAAGAAACAGATCTTAGGTATACTTTGTACAGGTAAAAATTAAGAAGACAGCATATTTAAAAATATGTTTTAATGCCAGTGCACACGGGGCCTGATTAAGGGTTAATGCTTTAATTAATCATTATGAAATTTAGTATACACATACTATAAAAAGTAGAAACGGGCATAGACTACTTTTCATCCTGGACAAAGTAACAGGTAAAAACCACTAAAAATATGCATTCACTTTCATATTTATAGTATTAGTAGTAACATTATACGATACTCACTGTGTAAGTGCATCAGCTTCGTCCGCAGTGGACCGTCGCGTCTTCACGAGCAGCATTTCGGCTGTTTTATGGTACAACTCTACTGAGAGTGCGGTCGCTTGGGCCAGCCCGCTCACTGACCGCTTGTACACGGCTTTTTGCGTCAGATCAGCGTCCGAAGTGTCCAGCCAGGTTAATATGTCATTGTATTGTCTGAAAGTATATTATTTTTATATATTCACTCTATTATTTATAAAAATTAAAATGGCCTATAAAGCTACTTCAATTATTAGAACGTTTTGTTACTTTTTCCAATTGGGAATTTAGCGAAAAAGGTCAAAATATTTTAGCTATTAAAGTATTTTGCTATAGCCATTGAAGTGGTTTATGAGACGTATAAAAACATGGAGTTTTTATAATGGTTTTAATATTTACTGATATGTGATTTAAATACTGAACTCCATTGGAGTATTTCTAATAAGAAATTGTCCATGATTATTAAAAGTAAAATTATGTTCTACTATGTCTTACAAGACAAACAAAAAATGTCATATTACTAAAATAAAAATGTTTATCAAATAGAATAGAATAGAATTTTATTGTTAACTGTGTACATACATACAGCAGTTACTGCTTTCATTGCTTTGGATTTGACATCAGTATCAACAGTTATACCCTATTGGGCATGCAACAATTTAAAAACAGGTAATTCTGGGCGAAACATTATACTCTGTTATGTCCATTGTACTGCTCATGTTTATAGGCGACGGTTACCACTTTCGATCAGGTGGGCCGTCAGCTTGATTGCCATTCTAAGTTGTATAAAAAAAATTACTTGATTACAAATAAATATGAAATATTTGACAATACAATTAACAAGACAAAGAATAATCCATAACCAAATTTAAATAAAATAGACATATTTTTCGCTTACATAATACATTTAAACAAAATACATTTATAAATCTATACATTTGTTATTATCATTATTCTATATATATATATATATATATATATATATATATATATATATATAATTCTAATAATGTAGTACTGCGTTAGTGATTCGCCGTTCATCCCAAAGGTTTTATTATAGGTGAAAATGGAATGGTAACCCCGCCTGCGCTGACGGTATACGCTGGCGGGGCACCAGTGAAGGGGGATCGATGAGAATGAAAATAGGCCAGTTAGCCCATTACGATGAATTCATCAGGAATTAATCATGATAGTTTCCAGGGGGAATCGCGTGAAGGTCGACCTGGTTGGGTATATTGCTAGCAATGGGATTTTTAGTCTCCATTACAAACAATCCTTTTCCTCCCATCACAAAGGTTGACTGGAAAATGCTATCAGTAAGCCCGCCTTTTGCATCATATTCTCAATTGATTAAAAAAGGTATTTAAATGGGGGAAGGGGACTGTTAATAAGACTGTTTTAAATCGCCTTTGTTTTTTGTAATTATGTATTGAGTGAGAATGTATTTTGTAGTGAAATTTAAATTAAAAATATATTGAGAATTAAATTTTTTGTCTATTAATTCACTGTGTCTGTACATGGAAGTAATTTAAAAAATTTATATGTGGGGTCATAAATAAGAGTAATATATGTTAAAAGAATTTTTCTTTTTTATTTTGTCTGTCTATCTGTATGTTTGTTCCGATATCATGCAAAAACTACTATATCAAATTGGATGCGGTTTTAATAGTTAGTGTTGTTTAAAGAGATATGTTGTTTCCCATCAAACCATTAAGTTCTCTTATTTGTTAAGAAAGAAAGGGTTGACTTATTATTCTATGCTGGAATCACATAGCATATAGAAAAACTAGTTTTTTTTTGTACGACTTAGAATGGCAAACAAACTGACGGCCCACCTGATGGGGAAAGTGATAACCGTCGCCTATAGACATGAGCAGTACCATGGACATAACAGAGTATACTGTTCCGCCCATGATACCCCTCGTGTGTTGCCATTCCTGAGGACTCAGGTGTTGTTCCTCTGTACCAAGTAAATTCACGCCATATCCCACCCTTCAAACCGAAACACAGCCATGCCAACACAACTGCTTCACGGTTGAAACACGAATGGGACAGAGGTACCCAAGCAATCGACTTTTGTACTAAGTCTCCCTCTGGTGTATAAAACATAATTCAACTCAAACCGTCAACTCACTTGATCAAAGGTTGGAACTGCAGTTTTAGGCCAAGGTCTTGTGTTGCGGTTTGCAATCTCTCGTGGAAAGCGTCAGCTTTGGACATATCTTTCGCCGGTGTTTCCTCGTCATCATCATCCTCCTCTGGCATCTCGCAAAGTTCTGGTGATTATAATTGTTCAATACTTATTGATTATGATATTAAGATACTACTATTATAAATATCAATTTCTTAACATTGCATGTATGTTAAAAGGTGTGATATTTTATACATAGGGCAAGAGTATAGATCGTTTTGAATTTATCTTGTATGATGTATATATTACTAGCTGTTCCTCGTGACTTTGCTCGCGTACATCAATACCCCTATATATGTTTACTTACGCACGTACTAAATTTAATTCAAATCTAATTAGCCCTTTAAGTGTAGTCGAGTAATAAGCATCCAAACTTTCACATTTATAATATTAATAGGAATACATTTTTTTATTTCTTTACTGCCTTTTTACTTGTAATTTCGTCTGCTTCATCAGAATATCGTCATAGTCGTAGAATACTGACGGATCTGACAAAGATTACATATAAAGATCGGTCAGTATTCTACGACTATGACGATATATTGACTGACCGGTATAAATTGTAGTTTATGTCTGGTTGAACTATTAAGTGGTAGGAAGTACAAATAATCTAATATAGTATAATATAGTATCCCTCACTGGTGCGCCACCAGCGTATACCAATAGCGCAGGCGAAGTTACTACTCCATTATCACTTATTAAAAAAAGCAACCCTTTTCGTGTTGCAGGTGTTCATGAGCGACGGTAGCCGCTTTTCATCAGGTGGACCATCTGCTCGTTTGCCTTCCCAACAATTAAAAAAAAAAATACCTGCAACTTGCTGTAACGTCTCCTTGATATCCTGTCTCTTCTCAGGTGCAGCGGCTTGTATTCGTTCATCTAGACGCATCGTCACCTGACGCGACAGCATTTCTAAGGCTTCTAAATGCACCAGGCCTGTAATATATCATGATAGAACATATTTACTGTTAGGTTTTCTTATCACACACTACAGTATGGGGTTCTTCAAAAAGGATGTATCATGGTTTCTCCAAGGTCGGCAACTCGCACAGGATACCCCTAGTGTTACAAGCGTCTATAGGCTACAGTGACTATTTACTATCAGATGGGCTGTATGTTTGCTATTTTCGTGGTATAAAAAAACTTTCCATTAAGTACTTGCGCCAACTATTAGCAAATAAAAAAAAAAAGAACAGCGAAACGGGTACAGTTAGCATTTTTTAAGAGATCTCTAAAAGGAATAGTTTCTCAATACATTTGTATATGTTTGCAAGTATGTTATATCAATATTAGCGCCAATTTTGTTATATCTTTTTTTTTTTTTTTTATACCACTGAGGTGGCAAACAAGCATACGGCCCACCTGATGGTAAGCGGTTACCGTAGCCTATGAACGCCTGCAATACCAGAGGTATTACGCGCGCGTTGCCGACCCTGAAGAAACCTCTTTACCCCCTTTTGAAGAACCCCATGCTGTAGTCTCTCGGGAAAACCTCGGCAGGGAGCTCATTCCATAACCTGAGTGTTCGTGGGAGAAAGCATCTCTGAAACCGCGTTGTACGCGACCATTTAGGCTGTAAGGTATGAGGGTGAACTCCCTGCCGATGGCGAGCCGTACGATGATAGAAAGTGGCCGTAGGCATCATATTGAATAATTCCTCTGAGCACAATCCGTTGTATAAGCGGTAGAACACGCAGAGTGAGGCAAAATCTCTCCTAAGACTTAAGGGTTCGATACCGCTTGCAAGCATGGGATCATCGACAATTCTCATAGCTCGTCGTTGCACTGAGTCGAAGGGTTCAAGCTGGTATCTAGGTGCTCCCGCCCATAAGTGACAGCAATACTCCATATGGGGCCGGATTTGCGATTTGTAAAGCATTAGTCGCTGATCCGGCGTGAAGTAATGCTTCGCTCTATTGAGCACACCGAGTTTTTTGGATGCCAGCTTCACCTTATCTTCGAGGTGGCCACGGAACTGTACGTCACTAGAGATGTCGACACCAAGGATCCCAATGCTTTTAGAGATGTTAAGAGACGTGCCTTGGAACTGTGGGGCCACAGCAAATGGGGTTTTTTTAGCGGTGAACGCGCAAGCTTGTGTCTTAGAGGGGTTAAATTGGACCAAGTTTTGTCGTCCCCAATCAGAGACTCCAGTTAGTGTTCTCTCGATTTCAGACACAAGCTGTTCACGATTGTTCTCCACGATGGAACGGGAGACATTGGTACGACTCGTATAAAGGGCATCCCCGGTGCTGTCATCCGCATAACAATGAATGCTACCGAAGGTTAACATATCATTAATATGCAGTAGAAACAGCGTTGGGGACAGCACAGAGCCCTGCGGGACGCCAGCGTTAATATCCATGCTATCGGAGCAGCAACCATCTACAACGGTTTTTATACGTCTGCCGGATAAAAAACTGGCGACCCATTTACAGAGGCTGTCGGGAAGTCCATAGTAGGGCAATTTCGATAGAAGACCCCGATGCCAGACCCGGTCAAATGCCTTTGCAATATCAAGACCGACAGTAAGCGCCTCACCTTGACTCTCAATGGCTGATGCCCATCGGTGCGTAAGATATACCAAGAGGTCACCAGTTGAGCGACTATGGCGAAAGCCATATTGGCGGTCACTCAATAAATCGTGATCCTCTAGGTATTTTAACAGCTGTGCGTTAACTATACGCTCCATCACCTTAGAGAGAAGGGAAGCGATCGCAATCGGTCTGTAATTTGAAGGGTCCGACTTATCGCCCTTTTTAGGTACAGGATGTACAAGGGTGGTCTTCCATGTCGAAGGAAATTGCCCTGTGGAGTACGAGATCGTGAAGAGACGCGTTAATACAGGACACAATTCCGGAGCACACTGCTTTAGGACCACTGCCGGTATACCGTCTGGCCCACTCGACTTATGAACATCTAAGGATAGTAACTCCCGCCGGACTTTACATTGTGTTATAGTAATTTCCGGCATGGAGCTTCCGCAACACAAGATGGTAGGTGGTACAGAATTACCTTCGTCCATAGTCGAGTTAGAGGCAAAGAGAATGCCAAATAAGTCGGCTTTCTCTTTAGCACTGTAGGCCAAGTTACCATTCGGTTTCCGAAGTGGTGGAAAAGACGACTGACAAAAGTTTCCTTGGGCAGCTTTAGCAAGCGACCAGAAAGCACGGTTACCAGAAGGAAGGCTTGATAGTCGCCTACCAATTCTGCCCACAAATTCAAATTTGGCTCTGGCAATTACTCTCTTACTGGACCTCGAAGCAGCATTTAATTTGCGCTTTGCATCACTGATTCCAGGATCAGAGTTAGTGCAAGCCGTAGTCCAAGCCTTGTAAGCAGCTTGCTGAGCAAATCTGGCTTTCTTACAAGACCGGTTAAACCACGGACGCTTCTTCGATCCCATTGCCACTAGCGGGTTGGGGATAAATAGCTTCATACCTTCAATGATAGCCTCGCTAACGGCAATTGCGCAGGCAAATATCTTTTTGCAATTAACAAATTGTCAGTTCATTTTGAATTTTGAAACAATTGAATACCTTTTCTTTGTAGAGCAAAATTCTACTCGTCGTAAATACTTGTAGATAAAGAATTCCAATCTCTAAATTCAAATATTTTAAATCTCTCTAAAAAACATAGAGTACATTTTAAAATGAATATAATCTAGTAATCAATGTTAATTTTGTTATCATTAAAGTAATTTTTTGCACTTTTACATAAATGAAGTCTTCTATTGAGTCCTAAACTATATGGTAAATAAGTAAGTAGAGTCGACATTAATCATTATTATTAATTACTAGTTCACCCGGTTCAGTACGTATCACTTACAACGCCATCTATTGAAAGTAATCCAAAAACTTTTTTATATTTTTAATTATCAGAATATTCAACTAAACTTAGGTTTTCCCCACCTTTTTTTTCTTTTAAACTATGCCTCAATTATAAAGAATAAAACAAATATTGCAATGGGTCAAGCCGTTTTAAAGTTTTAGCGAAAGTAACGAACAGAAATTGATTTTTATACCTATATACAGGTTGATTATTATAATTCATAACATTTATTTGATAACAACTCATACCTTCAAAATCGTCAAATAAATTTTCATAATGCACTTCTTTCGCTTCTCTCTTCTCTTCTCGTATTCTATCTTCCTCTTCTGCCTTTGCCTTCGCTTCTCTTAACACCTGGGACAGTACTGGTTTATCGCCAGGATCCAAGCCGAGCATAGCACGCTTTTTAGCCAAGCCTGGGTCTCCATCTTGTAACACCTCCATTGTTTTTTTCCCAATTGTTTCTAGAGTGTCCAAGCCACCTGATATTACTTTTGTGCCTGGAAAAAGTATTAAAAAAAATCTATTAATAAGTTGTTAAGGGTCCACCGCTGAACATAGGCCTTCCCTATAAGGGGGGTTTATCGAGTAGCTGCCACGCTTGGCAGGTGGGTTGACAACTGCAAATATGCTTTGGCGATGTTTTAAGAGACATGCTGCTAGTCATTCTTCAACCACGAAATTCGAATAGTCACCTCTTACAACTCTCATGGGAAAGAATGTGATGGTCTATTGTATGCTGTGATAACACTTCTCTATTTGATGGTAGGAAAGTTCTTTCTGTGCATATAGTATTTTAGATTCAGATAAAAGATTTACCTTTATTATTATATGATAGCCCGTGATATGGCTTACCATACACTGGTTTTACATGGTTCTAAAGCTTGTCATGATTGACAATATTTTTTAAATAACTAAAACATGATTTTATTTTAAAAGAAGACTGTTTTATAATTAATAAATATTGATATGTTCCCATAGCACCATCTACTAATCTAATTGGTCTCCCAGAAAATAAGTATTTAGGCATTAGGTATGAATTATCATTAGGCCTAGACACTTGTGCCCATTTTAATTATATATACTTGTATTTCTAATTATAAGCTTATTTTTGTATTTTAATTATTTATTTAAACTTTAATACACAGTGAAATTCTATGTAGGTTTACGGAATTAACTACTACTAGTTCTCTACTAATTAACCATTCTTGTTTATTTAAGTTTATAATTGTTTATATTTATATTATAACTATTATTGTTATGCGCTTAATAAATATTATTTCTATTTCTTTTTTTTTATTAAAGACACCATAGATTGTCTGTTAAGAGTGGGGGAATGAGGGCAATAAAAAGTGAAATATCTACCATTATTTTTAATATTATGGCTATGATTATTTAAGTAAAATTTATTTACTCCGCCACAATGAACTTACCAGTAGTCTCAACAAATTTAGTAACTCCTGATAATAAACTGCCGAACGGAAATGCTGTTTCACTTGTACTCCTTGGTACATCAGTCTCCTCTTTTCCACTATCTGAAGTTACCACATCATCAGATTTACTCGGTGTCGCTTCAGTATCTCTTAAATTCCTCCTGGCCAATTCTTCAGGGTCTGGGGCTCCAATACCAGTTTCAAGAACAGTGGTTAAACCCTGAAAAAAAAAAGACTTGGTGGTTAAATTCTATTTTACTATAATTTCAAAACTAAGGGTGGGTATATCTATATATTATAGTTATATATATATATATGTATATATATATATATATATATATATATATATATATATATATATATATATATATATATATCAGCCCAATAAGAAATATGTTAGATAATAATATTGAAAAGAAGAGCCTGCTTATAATAAATAATAAAATATAGTATGGGTGATATCGCAATGGGTGGTCATCAATGTCCAGAAGAATTCAGTATATAGATATCAGATTTTACTCATCTCTATCCAAAACATGAAATGTATGTCAGATTTCTAATATGCTGAAAGCTGTGTAAAAAAACTAGATGATTCCTTCAGTTATATCTTCTACCAAACTTTTTCTGTCTGAAAGAGGCTGTTTAACAATAGGACTGTTTCTTGCACTCTATGCCTATCATATATATATATATATATTAATAATAATAAGAATAGAATGCCTATAAATTATTTATATATTAATATCTTGCTACTATTATAAACCAAAAAATTGTGACCATGCGTGAATAGTTGATTGCTACCCTTTCACACAAAAACTACAGAATGAATTTAAATAAAATTTTATACATGGATAGGTTATATCCTAACATAATATGTAGGGTATTTTATATATTGTTTCACATGGGTGAATTTGTGGTGTACAGATTGTTGTTATAATAAAGTATTAAATTATTACCTGTGACACTTGGGTGGTAAGAGTTGTTATGCCAGCTGTTGCTGTACTTAATAAGGAATCCACTCCCCAACCCCATCCCCACCCCGAGCTTTTAGTGGATGCAGCAGCCAGGCGATCTGTAACTTCTTTTATATCTGGTTCAGGTTGCTTTGAAGGTACTGGTGGATCATTCTGGAAATTATTCCATACATACATAACAGTTATATAATTAATTTGTGTTCGCTATTCCTTATGTGTGGATTTCAGATGAAGATCTCTCGATTCCATATAGCATATATCATATATAGGTTAAGCAATTTTTATACCTGTTTATTAATGTATCCTTGTTATGTGAACAAAATAGATGGTAAAAATGAATAGTATTATTTTTATAAATCTTACTAATACAACAAAATGTAACTGAACAATGTCAATACTTGGAAGATATTTAAATACAATGTAAGGGATTTCAATAAGTGCAATAGAAGTCAAACAATATTTTTTAGAAATGTCTGTATATTTGTTCTGAGATCACTTAAACACTACTGTACCAAATTGGGTGCAGCTTTTATTGAAATAGGTTCATTAATTAGTTTTCTTAATGCTGAAATTTTAAGGTAAATCAGTAATATGTGAGTATGTTTATTTGTTAGATATCTTACAGCGGCTTAACCAAAAATTATGAATTTTTGTGTACATATATTTTATACTAGTCAAACACATAAAAATAAGTATTATATACAATACTTACTTCAATTTTAGTACTACTGGTATTAACATCTTGATCCCAGTCATCAAATTTATCCCATCCTGTATCTTCACTCTTTGTGCTTTCCTTTTTTACTGTCTCTTTATTTGTCTTACTCTTTACTTCTAGTCTGGGCTCAGGTTCTATTGACTCATTTTCATCTATATCAAAGTCATCCCACCCATCAGTAGGTTCATTCTAGAAATTTTTAATAAGTGTGAATAGCAAACAACTATTTTAATATCTATTTGGGTAATTATTTGTTATATGAAAATGATATCATAGCCAATGAAAATACTAAGTAGTAATTTTAATAACAGAACAAACATTTAAAATGTAACCACAAATCTAAACATATGGTTATGGAGTACAAAAAAGACACTACCAAGAATTCAGATTCTCTTTTGGTAACTATTAAAAAAATTAAATTAGTTATTAGCATATACATCATTTGTAATTATTGGAAATTAAACTATAATAAGATAATGTACAATAACTTAATATAGTTTATATTGTTACGGATAAAATAAGTCGTAAATAGCAATGGCAACGTTTGTAATTTTATTAATAATTTACCGTATTTTCCTCAGGCTTTTCCAAGGTGTTGGCACTATTTGGTGTTTTTTTATGTTCTAAATTATTTTCTAATGAATTCTCACTATAATTTGAAGATGATAGTCGATGTTTTCTCTCTTTTTTGTCTGGACTCTGCCCTTCATCAGCACTTTCAAAGTCTTCACTGTCGCTGGAAGGCATTATCAGAATAAAACTACAAACGGTGTATTGACCAATAAAGGAAAAATTAAAACAGTTAAGGGTTAATTATAATAGAAATAAATTCATTAATATTTCACTTAGTTTTTAATCTTTTGCGTGACAGACGTAAGTAAACTACGTGTTGACAAATCAGCCAACAAAAATGACAATTATGACATTGATATTTGACGTTTAGTTATAGCATGTCTCAATGTTGGTAATGGAACCAACATTCATTTGTCTGACAATAAAATGACGTTTTATTTATACTTGATTTAATGAATCGTAAAATGTATCTAAAATACAAATAAAAATTATCAGATAAAAATTATTAAAAACTTATTCTAAAGTGATCGCGCTCAACCAAAGCTCTCGACTCAATGAACGCAATTCAATGTTGCTAAGTTAGCGACACTGATTTATTGGACATAATAGCATTAAATTTAGATTTATTTATTCCTATTTTAAAGAATTTTAAAATCGCTTTTAATACACAGATTGTTATAATAAAACTTTTTGTTTTGTGTTTCAAAGAATATGTATTTAATTGTAGGTGTTTTGTTGGCATTTTCTGAAAACGGTTCAATTCGTATGGTAATTTACCTATACCGGTAAATATTAAATTGATTACTTGTATTCTGTAAGTACCTAATTATTTATTACATTAGTTTTAATAATTTACATGATAATGCAAAATACAGTATTTATATTTGCCTAAGTTTCATATCAAATTTTACCAATAGGCATTCAGCAGTTCACGTAAGTACCCATTACTATATAAATATTATAAATACAAAAGTTTGTAAAGGTGGATAGTTGGATGGATGTTTCTTACTCTTTCACGCAAAAACTATTGAATTGGTTTGAATTAAAATATACGGGTATACGCTGTTGGAGCACCAGTGAGGGATGATACGTGAGGATGAAATGGCGGGTCAGTTAGCCCATCGTGAAAAATACGCCAGGAATTTAGCACGATGGGTTTCAGGGGGAACCACGTGGAGGTTGTATACATTTTAAAATATTTCGAATGATTTTGAATAAAGTGATGGATAAAAAATTACAGTTGCCTAATTTTGAGTGCAGAATTTTTATCAAAATGCGAGTTGGCGCGCATTGGAAGAACGGACGGACTCGTACTCGTACTGGTAGACTTACAGCATAACGAGAATAGTTACCTGCCATTTAAATAATAAAAAAAAAAAAACATTTAATTATTCGGAAGACAATTTAATTTTCTTTACTGCGTGACCTATAAATTACTTACCTAATACGTAAGACGACCTTAGCATTTCGATGTGTATTAAAAACTGGTATTGATGAAAATATGCCACACATGATAGGTACTACTTGAGAAGGTATTTTCAAATATCATCGATTTAGGTGAATAATAAAATAGATAGATACCCTTTCTTGTTTCCTCCAAAAGATCAAGAACTACCTAAATCAATTTTTGTGTTTCGACATATTTATCTGGGATTTGCCATTTACTATTTCTTTTTTCGTTTATCGTAAATAATAAGTAGAAAGCAATTATTACGGAAACATTTATATTTTTTTTAAATATCGATATAAAAGTTATCTTAACGATTAATCTTACTTTCTCATTTAATTATAATTAGTGTGGGTTATTTGTATGATATCCTGTTTTATAAGTCATCGGCGCTTGAAATGTATTGCGGAATTGTTCTGAATTGGATTTGGTTTTTCCATTTCTAAACACGTAAAGTGGGAAATTTAGTCCACAAGTTAGGTAATTGGGATAGCCCATATCGATATGTAACCGGACAACTTTACAAATAAGGAACTATTTATAGATCGAAACTTAAGTACGAAATTATACTAAATAAATACTACAAAAAATAGGCCTCCAATAATAAATACAACGAACTGATGAATCATCATCATCAGTCCTGCCCTTATCCTATTTTTTCAAATTATTATATTATTCAATTATTATTTGGCATCGGCGTAATAAGTTTTTCTCTTCCATTCTTCTCTATTCGCATTCACTCCTCTTCTTATCTTCCACACTGTCTTTTCATGTCTTTTTAGGTCTTCCTGTATCCTTATAGCCATCCACTTTCATACATTAAAACATGTTTCTCATTTCTACGCATCACGTACCCATACCAGGCCCTCTAGACAAGTGTCAAGCGAATTCATAGATGGAATCAACATCGCTACCGAGTCCATGAGGTAGAATGAGATAACAACGTCGGATGTCTCATTCCAACTCATGGACTTGCTAGCTATGTCGATTACATCGACGGATTCGCTTGTCATTTGTCTGGAGGCCCAGGACAGAGGACAGGACAAAGACAACAAAACTTCTCTACTTATAATCATCTACATTCGTACCTACTTAATATTTTTCTTAAAACATACGTCTTATCCTTACATATCACCATATTAAAACAATAAATAAATAAATATTTTGCACTCGAAATCCACACAGATAAGTACATAAAATTAAACAATACTGACTAAAAGGATTGTATGCCTGACATCATTTTATAAATCCCACATGTTATCTCGCGTACCGAGGATGGATTAGGTTCGTTTGTACTTTAACGGATTATACTCGTAAATATCGTACGATTTCTTTTATCGGATTTTCTGTGACGAATATATTTCCCTAATCACTTTATGATTTAAAGATCGTAAAGTGTCTTAAGGATAAGCAAGCTGAACTGGTAATGGGATGGTCATATAGCTCGAATAACCGACAACCGATGGGGAAGAAAGGTTCTTGAGTGGTGACCCTGTACGGGCAAATGCAGTCTAGGAGAACTCACATTAAATGGAGTGACGATATCAAATATATTGCAGAGTTAGTGGATGCAGGTGGGTTAGGGACGCTTCCGATGGTAGTCTATGGGAAAGGCCTATGTTCAGCAGTGAACAGGTGGTCTACCATGAAATGAAATTCCGAATTTTCGAGCTCCATTTCGTGTTTTTGTTCGTACCGAAATCGACCTAGTAAATGGAGCTTAACATTTCGTTGATCATAAATCCTATCCTAATAGTCCAAAGGAATGATATTTTAACATTTTTAATAATTTTAAACGGCATATATTATGTAATTTTAACATCAAATTTCTGTTTCGTTCGTCTCCGAAATTTCGGAAAATATTTCATGGTAGGCCCTCAGATAATGGCTGGGATGATGATTATAAGTGTATTCAGTTTACGCATAAATACTTTACAAAAAGTAGCAATCGGATGAAGTCAAAGTTAATGTTGACGATTAGTATTATTTATTAGGGTTCAGTATCAAAAAAGTATAAAGAAACGCTTATGTTTCGAATTTGTCCGTTTGTTAGTTTGTTATAGCGTGATGATAATAATGTCTTGTTAGATTAAATGTAAATTAGATAAAATGTCTTATTTTTTATTATTATCAAAATTCGGAAATACTTATTTAAATAACAATAATAATTATTAGGCGTCTATTTCGTATAGAAAATACAGTACGGTTTTTTTATACAACTTAGAATGGCAAACAAGCTGACGGCCCACCTGATGGAAAGTGGTAACCGTCGCCTATAGACATGAGCAGTACCATGGACATAACAGAGTATACTGTTTCGCCCACGATACTCCCCATGCGTCGCCATTCCTGAGGACTCAGGTGTTATTCCTCTGTACCCTGTAAATTCACGCCATATCCCACCCTTCAAACCGAAACACAGCCATGCAAACAACTGCTTCACGCAATCGACTTACAAAGTCTCCCTCTGGTGAAGCAATTCCCTCAATATTATTATCATCATATCAGCCGTTAATTGTCCACTATTGAACATAAGTCTTCCCCATAATGGGAGTTTTGCCAGTAGTTGCCACGCTTGGCAGGTAGGTTGGCGGACGCAGTTAAGCTTTTAGTGATGTTTTTAAGCCCATCTCTCTACAATGGTAGAATTCCCTTAGTCACCTCTTACTACAAACTATAAACAGATGTTTCTCTATGATGCGAAGGAACAAAACATTCCATGTACTTATTTTCTATTCGCCCTGAAACTGCCATATTTAATATCCATTCACCCACCTCATCAATCGGGCCATCATCCATCGATTTCGTCCACCGAACACCGCACCATTTTTTTTATATATTCTCACTCCTGGAATTATCAAACTGATGCCCATGTAGTTGGCTTAGTGAACGTATGTTCAAGTGCATAAGTACTAATAATTAGAAGTAATTACCTTTTAGAAATCTCCGACTAAATAAATGTAGATAAACCATTGTAAGTTTTTAATAAAAATTATAATTAATTTTACTTATCGTAAACTACAACTGTAGTTAAAAGTTTAAGTAGAAAACGATTACACTTTTGTTTTTGATATTTTTTTTTATTATTTGGGTGCGTATTCTTTTTTTATATAAATTCCTCAAGATCAGCTATAAATTCCAATGCTAGACATATGCCTCGGGCTTATGCATATTGCTTGCAGTTTGAAAAATGAGTAATTATTACTTTAGTCAGTAGGTACGTAGAGATAAAGCATCTAGAAGGCGGGGTAGCTCTCTGTAATTTGTATGTACGCCTCTACGTAAGTACATACACTGTGGAATGCGCGCCACACGCTCTTCATATACTGACTTGTATATAACAGAATCGTAAATAGATTGAATGGATATCTAAGTAAGTACGCACTTTTTGCATACATTGTCAGTTTAACGTTTTCGCGTCTCGCCCATCGCCAAAAGTATCAGTCATTCATTTGCTACTGGCAGACCACCGTCGTGTCTGTCTGTATATGTAATGTAAACATCAGCCCAGGAATGCATTTAGACTGTAGGTGCTGGAATATTATCATGAGCTGTGATAACGTGGCGGCGAGTCGGCGCGGCTCAGTCAGCGACGTGGGGTCGCATGGTGCGGTCGCATGCTTCTTACGTATCGTTCTAGCGACGTACGAACGAAAGCATTCTGTGTTCGCGTACGCGCCGCATTCCATCGTGGGGGCCCTTCGCCGCTATTGGTCGGTCCCGCGTGACGTCACTCATCGTAATGAGGTATTCAACATGGCCGTGTAGCTAGTTCGCGAGTGTGCTTCGTTATTCGTTTGAATGGATTTAATCAGTGAAATATGCCAAGGAGACCAAACGGCGAGATACCCTTGCCTGACGGTTGGGATTATGCGAGGGACTATGACGGAA